AAATATATTTTTAATTAATGATATTTAGATGAACGATAAGTAACTTAATGTCCTAAGATAAACTTGAGGCTCGAAAACTCTTAATAAAGAAGTCCCTCTCATTTGGCTTAAATTATCTTTGTTGAAAAAAATCTTTGAATTTAAATTAAATAGTAATTTAATTTACTAAAAAGATTTTGCAAAAGTAATAAATCCAAGGACGCAAATGCGATTAATTACATTATTCACAATAAAAGAAATGTTTTACACATGCATGTTTAGTTTGTAGAAAACGACGCAAGGAGGGTCACCCCCTATTTGCCCCGCTTTTTATTAATAAAATGATACTCTTCCAGTCTTTAATATAGGACTTAATTATTGAGTTGATCTTGGTTCTAAATATAAGATTTATTTCTTATATTTATTAGTTTTTCTTAAATTACCCATATTGATTTCCCTCAAGCATAATTAAGTAAAAGAGGGAAGAAAGATATTAAGGAAGATGTTTATGATATTTTAGGAAAAGCATGTCGTATTTCTTATAACTAACTAACTTATCTAACTTTCTTAATCTAATCAAATTAATTAAATAAGTCTTATATTAAGGACCGAAAGAGTATTTTTTGAAATTTTAATTTCAAAAATAAAAAAGATAATAATTATATTTTATTGTAACTAATTAATAAGTATAAAATGGTTTTTTTTATACGAATGGTATTGTGGTAATTTAATTTACCCTTTTTGTTAGCTTTCCTATCAACTCATCAACTTCATCCAATAATCAAACATAAATTTATCGGGAGCAGTTTCTATGCTCAGCGGGTGATGAGCACCACACCATTTCATTTAAACCATGGGGACACACTTATTGCCAAACGACGTCACTCCTGGGGCTCTTGAAAAATGCTTTTTGTCACACCGTTCATGGTATAACCTTGGGTTATTGGCACCAACTTTGGGAGAAAAAGGAGTTTCTGATTTCTGCCATTGAAGATTGGAAGAAGGTTGAGTTTCAAAGCAAGAAGGCTTTCAGATTGAATAATGGTGTCTTTGACCTTAGACCATCCTTTGTAATTGAAGAAGAAGCCGCCGAATTGCAGCTGAAAAAAGGACCTCTGTGAGAAAGCATCGGAGGTTTCATATATTCTATCCTTCATGCCATTTTTCACTATTGCCATATTTTCTAATAATCATATTAATATATATTATACACACACACATATCAAAATTGGGGTTCATGTGTGGGTTATTATATACAAACGTATATATATAAAACTAAAATTTCAAGTCGCTCATAGGTGAGTTTAGTTTTCTTATTTAGCTTGTCGATATTATTTGTAGACAATAAAAATAGACTATTCAATTCATTTATTATTTCAGTAAGCTAAAACTCATATTTGTATTTTCATATGAGGAATGATTTTTGCAAAATGATCATTTTTTTATATATTTGGATTTAATAGAAATGTGGAAATTCTTATCCAAGCTCATATTACATAACATCTTATATTTGCAAGATGAAATTTTTTAAATTGTGATTTTTTTTATTGTGTATGGAAACCATATAATGGAAGATGAACTCAAACTCAAAATAGGAAGAGAGTTTGAAAGTTTGGATGGAGCTTGGGATTTCTGGAATGAATATGGGGGGAAATTTGGGTTTGGAGTTAGAAAGTATAATGGAACAAAGCGCAGAACATATGGTTGCATTATTACATATAGATATGTTTGTTGTAAGAAGGGTGTTCGAAAAAAATAAAAATAAAAGAGAGACAACCTCTTCTAGATATCGACCAGAGATAAGAACTAATTGTAAGGCAAAAATGATTGTATCTCGTGTAAACAAAAGTTCAAAATTACCAAGTTTAATTAAGAACATAATCACCCTCTTCATACACAAGAAATAGTGCACTTGCGACCATCACAGAGAAATTTATCAGAAGCTCAGGCTCATGAGATAGATCTTGTAGAACAATCTGGCTTGAACCTCAAGAAGCATTTGACTTGATGAGTACATATGTTGACGGCCAAGAAAATCTTGCTTATACCATGACAGATGCAAAGAACTATTTGATGAAAAAAAGATGAAAACATATGAAGTTTGGAGAGGTGGGATGTCTTCTTGAATATTTTCAAAAACAAATTGGGGAAAATCCTTCATTTTACCACAAATACCAGTTAGATACGGAACAACAGGTTACTAATGTGTTCTGGGCATATGCTTATATGTTAAAAGACTATGCACATACACGACATATAGTACAAATAGGAATCATCGACCACTTACACTCTTTTTTGGTTTTAACCATCATAGAAGTGTGGTGATCTTCGGAGTAGCGCTATTGTATGATGAGACCATCGAATCTTTTAAATGGCTATTGGAGACTTTTTTGGATGCTCACATACAAAACAGGCTTCAAACTGTGTTTATTGATTAGGATCAAGCAATGGCCAGAGCATTAAGTGAAGCACTTCTTAATACAAGATATTGTTTGTGCACTTGGCATTTGTTGCAATATGGTATTAAACACCTTAGGAACTTGATGAAAGAAGATTCACACTTTTTAACTAACTTAAAAAAAAAAGCATGTTTGATTATGTGGATAGGGATAAGTTTAAAGAAGCATGGAGTGAATTATTATATTCTTATAACGTCCATGAAAACAGATGGTTGAACTCCACCTATAACATTAAGGGAAAATGGGCTAGGCGTCATATGAAGGATGCTTTCACACTAGGAATGAGAAGCACACAAGTTAGTGAAAGTGTGAATGCTGATGTGAAGAGATGTACAAAGCCAAAATTAGATATTAATCAATTCTTTAAGAGATTTGACAAAGTTATAAAAAAGAAATGATACAGAGATTTGGAACTTGAGTATGAATCTCGGCAAAAGATACCAAGAATGGTCAATCAAAGTGTGCCTATCTTGTGCCAACTTGTGAGATCTTATACCCCTGCTGCCTCTGATATGTTCCAAGAACAATGGGATCTCCAGTTCTTTGTAAAGTTAATTGAACATAACGAGAAAGAACCCTTGTTTATATACATGACCCATATGATGATAGACGAAGAGGGGGAATGGAGAATTGAGTTCAATCTTGACACACATGAAATTTGTTGCAGTTGTCAAAACTTTGAGACTACAGGCATATTGTGCTGCCATGTATTGAAAGTATGAGTCCAAAGATGTAAGACTTATGCATGAGCAATATATTCTCAAGCAATGGACCAAAGAAGCAAGGAATGGTGTTGTACATGATGTCAAAGGAAATGAGATACAAGCAAATTCTAAACTCGACACAACACAAAAATATAGATGACTATTGCTTAGTATGTTCTAACTGGCATCATAGGCTGCGTTCAAAGATGTATCATTAAGTTACAAAAAGAGTTTTCTCATAAAAATGAATATGATGCTTTTGTAGGACTCTCAAGGGGCTTCATCATCTAAGAAGCCATCCAAGAAAAAAAAAAGATAGAGAGAGAGAGAGAGGCTTCATCACAAATGAAAGATACCAGAGCTCAAGTTTCAATAATTTCAACACAACTTGAACAAACAAAAGATTCAACATTTTCATTCTTAGTCTCTCCAACATAACATGGTTTTGTAACCTCTACATTCCAACCATTGTCATATACAAGCTCATTGATGGTATCAATCAATAAATTAATTATTACTAAGTGTTATATATAGCTTTCATGTTTTGATGTCATTGCCATTAACACTTGCAAATGTAGGCAAAAGATACTGCAATTCCATCATTTGAAGCCATAGATCTTATGCCAAACTATATACTAGGTAATGAATATAAAAACAGATGCACCCAATTTGTATAAAAATAGCATCTTATTCATTTCAATAATATCGTATGCAATTTCTTTTGAATATAACCAGTCTTTGTACATTTCAGACTCTTCACAGACTTGACATGTTACATCTTCATTCAAGAGAGTAAAATACACACTAGACTCTTTTTGGCTTTTGAAGAATATTTTACAACTTCCCCCTAACTACTTTACAGTTTCACATTGCTCATGGAGACAAGTTTTGGCTTTTGGAGACAATTTGCTTGCCCAAATAACAGAAAACAAATATGGAAGAAGATTCAGGAGACTCACCTTACTTGATTTTTACCTTTGCATGAACCGATTCCCTCCTTCGATTGCCTTTCCCCTCTCAACCTCTCTCCAACTCTCTCAATTCTCTCTCTATTTCCACTTCAAGCAGCAAAGGAAAAATGAGAAGGGAGAAGATGTTATAGCAGACTAGATGGGTGAGGGATGTGAAATGACCATTATGCCTTTTGGTCTTCGTTTTCCCTTCAATTTGATCCTTCGCTATTTTTCTAGGATAATCAAATAATTCCAAAAGTCAAACCTGGATCTAACTATTTTTCCTTCAATTTTCCAAGAAAATATCTCCTAAATTCCTGAAATTAACTTTATAATTATTTAGACCATATTTTAAGGGTCTTAATCTCAACAATTTCTCTAAAAATTTTCTCCTTTATCATGCTTTATTTAAATCCATAAAATTCGGGATATTTCAAGGTACACTTATCATTATTCCTTCAAATATTGCTGGTACAAGTTAAAGATCGCAGATATTGATCTTGTTTGAATATGCACAGATGGGATGTTGAAGCTACAGAAGAGCTGCCGGATTACATGAAGATATGCTTTAAGGCACTCTATGATCTCACCAATGAGATCAGCTACAAAGTGTGTCTGAAGCATGGATGGGACCCCAGTATGTCCCTCCGAAAAGCGGTAAGTATATACATTCAACGTTGTCACAATCATTATTCCTATGGGTTTTACTGTTATGATCCAAATGTTTGAAACACTGTTCACTGGTTTTGTTTTTATCTGGTGCAGTGGGGGAGTTTGTGTGAAGCATTTCTGATAGAAGCAGAATGGTTTGCTTCAGGGAAGATACCCAGTGCAGAAGAATACTTGAACAATGGGATAGCAAGCTCAGGAGTGCACATAGTAATGGTTCACATTTTCTTTTTGTTAGGTCAAGGAATCACCAACGAATCAGTGCGGAAAATGGACAATACTCCAACCATCATCTCTTTCACAGCAACTATTCTTCGTCTCTGGGATGACTTGGGAACTGCTGAGGTAAACATTCTCTTCAAATCAACGTTCAAAGAGTACTTTTATCTCTTAATTAATACGACAGAAATTTCTGTTCAAATGCTGTTACACTAAAAAAGAAAAAGGCGCACATAGCTAGAGAAAAGTTAGTTAGGTAGGATCAGTGATGTGAATGAAGAGGGGTCAATTAATTAATTTGCAGGACGAGAATCAGGAAGGGAAGGATGGATCATATATGGAATGCGTGATGAAGGAGATGAGGAACAAGGAAATCGCAAGAGAGGTGGCGGCGGCTAAGATCTCAGAAGCGTGGAAGAGTCTGAACAGAGAGTTCATAATGGACAGCTCATTTTCTTCATCCTTCAAGAAAGCGTCTCTCAATCTGGCGAGGATGGTGCCATTGATGTACAGTTACGATCACAATAAATGCCTTCCCATACTAGAGGCCCAACTCAAGTCGTTGCTTTATGATCAAGTTCCTCTGTGATCATGACTCCCACAAACTTCCTTTTCAAATGCAAGAATGCGATAAAACAAGTCATACTCATATTAGGGCTTGGATTCTCTCCCTCCGCGTGTGTGGGTATGGAAGAGCCAAGAGTGATGTTGCGTGAAAGAGAACCTTCACGTACGTATTATGACGAAGGCCACATATGTACATAGTGGGTGGGCCGGCGAGCACGCATGAGAAAAATTTATTGTGCATGAATAGTTTTATTTGAGTTGAAAAAGGAAGATAGCATCAGGAAGCAAAAATAAGTAAAAGAGGGGTGAGGGGCGTAAAACCCAGCCACTAAAGCCCTTCAGGACTTTCTACTGCCAAATTACCAGAACGATTAACAAAAGCTAACGAGGTTTCTCATATGAATCGAGTATTTTAGAACCGGAGGAGTAATACGTTAATTTGCAAGAGATACGGCTTTAATAACTAATGGCGTAGGTTTAAAAAAGAAAAAAAAGAAAAGATGCATCTAATTAATTTTGCCATATGTACCACTGTTACGCTGTCCATATAACATATTTTCATATTAATTTAGACTTCCATTTTAATCCCAAAAAAAATGACATATTCAACGCGGATTCATCCGTGAGATGTGTACTGTTCATGAAATATGTGCACCTGACTTGGGAGGCTCAGACTCAACTATAGAATAGTATTCCTCCGGTCCTAATTATAAGACCCAATTGACTTATTTGAGGAGATTAAGAAAGTAAGTTAAGTTGGTTATTTATAATAAATAAGTGTTGTCATTCCTAAAATATCATTGCTAATTAAATATATTAGCTAAAACTATCATTATTAGAAGGATTATCTTGGAAAAAAATGTATAAATATAAGAGATAAAATGGATTTGGGTCTTATAATTAGGACCAAATAAAAAGTCAAATGGTGTCTTATAATAAGGACCGGAGGAGTAATTTTTTCACGAAGTTAATTGTGTAATTAAATCACAAAGAGTCTATGATTATATGTTACTGAAGATAAGCCTACGGTGATGGATCATTAAATATCCTATTATGAATCTCAGTAAAATTATTGGCAATAAAATATCCTAATGTGATCTGTTGACGCTGAGGAACATACGTACGTCTGATTGCAAGCCTGGACCACAAGTTTCATCAAAAGATCATGTGCCCTGATGCAATATTTGGTTTAATAACATAGAATTTATGTATTTTAGCAAAAAAATAGAAAATAAAAATATAAGTTACTATTACCCATATTGAATATACCTATATTTATTTTCAATTTTTAATTTGGTATTTGTGTGTTTTTTTTCTTTTTATTAAATTTTTAATTTTGCTATTAACATTGTTAACCCTTTGCATAGAGACTAAAAATACTAGTAGAACAAAATTAGAAGATTTAATATTCCTCAAAAGGTAAAGTTAAATAATTTAATCAAAGAAAAAAAAACACATGAATATCAAATTAAATTTTTTTAAAAAAAATATCGGTACCTCCAATTATGTTTTTTGTTCTTTCTTAAAATATCTACATAGGCCCAAGTGAAATTTGATGTCTGAAGTAGGGCTGTTCACAGGACGGGACGGGACCGGGACCGGGACCCGGACCCGGACCGGTCTTGTCCCGATGAATAGTAACAAGACAAGAAATTTGTCCCGTGTCCAGTCCCGATATTGTCCCGGTCCCGATCGGGACGGGACGGGACCGGGACGTCCCGATACTCTGTTTTTTTTTTTTTGAAAAAATGCTGTGGGGCTTCTGAAAACGCTGTGGGCCTTTTAAAAAATGCTGTGGGCCTCTTTAAAATGTTGTGGGCCTTTTAATAGGGAATTTTAAATGATATGAGCCTTCAATAGGAGATATACTTTACATATATCAACAATTTTACAATCTAAACAATAATAGACAGCTTTATATCCATTTACTGAATGCTCGTGCAATATAGAGTGAGGATACACTGAAAAATAAACTATTACCCAGCAACATCATGATAATTCAAGTATTCAATAAATGGGACAGCACGAAAACAAAGTTAATCATGTGATGGATCTTGTCATCTTGGTGGGACAAGAAATAGGAACAACCAACAAGTAACAAGCTAGAAAATAACAAACAGAACATAATCCATTGACTGGAAAATGGTCTCAAACCGTAAAGAAACTTAACAAACAGTCCAAATGTCCAAGGAGGCAGTAAGTCCATCACCAAATGACCACACTACATCAAAAACACTTCTCTAGAAAATAAGCCAGAAAATATCAGAACCAAATCCATCCAGCAGCACACAATCCAACATTTACTGGTTATTCACTTATTTGGTTGCTCCTCTTCATCCAATAAATTTGAGGCAACTGATTCTTCTACAAATGAAGACAAGGAAAAGAAAAATTGTTAAATGTTAATATGAAGTTAATAAATCAGATAAAAAAGGAATTTTAAAACCGTCCATAACAAATTATGAAAATATAAAAAATGAAGGAATGCCTGGATTTGGAAAACCATTCAATTATTCAACTGGTGCCACTTACTTGAGAAGGCATCCAAATATAACAAGTGCGCAAAGGAGACGGCCACACTGATGATATATAGGCCTTTCAATACATGCATCAGAAGCATAAAGGGAGGATTGTCCCATTCAAGTAGAAATATTGAAACCACCTTCCCCTCCTCCCCAATACGTTGAAAACTCACAGTACCAATTCTTTTCTTCAAAACAAATGAAGTTGACATGAATTCATGTTCTACCTGCCTCGCTATTGATCAGAGGTGTGTGATCATATATCTTCAAATAAATGGCCTTGGACCACAAATAAAATTTACTATGATTATCAACAACTTTGCGCACGCATTGGGAGGACAACATTTCTTCGTTGTTCAAAATTTTCCAGAATTTATGTATGGAGAAAACTAAGAAAAAATCTTCAAATATTAATTTTCAAGTCCTTTAACAAAAATTAACGTGAAAAAGAACTTTTAAAAAAAATTTAATGTGATGCTAAACTGATTCAGTAGTGATATTGTAATAAAATACTAGTCAAAAGGGCCTTATGCTTAGAAAATGTTTAAAAGGAAAACTGCACAAAACTTTTAGATGCCTAGTAATCCAGATCATCTTCAAGTATTAACAAACATGATTAAGCATGCAGAGACCAAACCCAGACCCTGATAAATTATAGAATTAACAGATTCGCAATTGGCATCAAGTCCAAGACTAAACATGTTTGATGAGAAATTACATGAAATGTTAAAAAAAATTTGGCTTCAATCAAATGCTACTAAAAGATAGATATTACCATGTGCTGCAATCTCAGTTTCATTGAAGTTATCAATGTCTAGTCCTTTCAGCTTCACTCTTGATGGAGATAGCCAATTTTGTGTACAAATTAATGCCTCAACCATTTTTGGGGATAAACTCCTGAAGTCATCAATCACACGACCCCCCGTGCTAAATGTAGATTTTGAAGACACAGTAGACACGGGCATGGCTAAAACATCACATGCAATCATTGAAAGGACTCTGTACTTCACAGCATTAAGGTTCCACCAGGCCAAAATATCAAAGCCAAGCTCATGTGCTTCAACTAACTCAGCTTGCAAATACTTCTCCACCTCTGCATACTTATCTGATTGAGTCTCAGTCTCAAATCGGGCAACAAACCTTTGAGCTAATCGCTTACGATGCACAGAAGTTATAGTTGAGCCTGATTGTTCTGAAGCATAGGTAGATGCAGTAGTAGTTTCACTTACAACTTGTCTATTCCTTTGTCCTTGAATTTGCATATGAAACTGAGATGTGTCAAGCCCACCCGAATAACAATCATACAATTGATACAAGACGGTTGAGACTATTTTTAACATGTGTTCACGTTGTGCTTGGCTTTGAAACATCTCCTCAATGGCAAAGGTGAGATATTTCATTTTATACTTGGGGTCAAGTACCACTGCTATCACCAAAAGAGGATTAAGAGTTTGCAAGTCACCCCAATACTTATCATACTTAATCTTCATCCTCATAGCCATCTCACATAGTAAAGAATTAGGATCCTTTGCATGCTCATTTAGAATAGTAAACACATCAACTATATTTTGAAAGCATATATTTGAGGTGACAGTGGTTGATCCAGAAAATTGCAATGTGATGTCATGAAACTCTTGCAAGAAGCTACAGAAAACTTTAGCTTGTCTCAAATCATATGCATCAGGAGGACCAATTAAATTCTTCTCCAAGAAGTGGTTTGTGTAATCCCTATCTTCTTTTGCCATTCTTTCAAAAACACTACTAAATTTAATAGCATTTTCCAGCATCATGTAGGTTGAATTCCACCTTGTTAGGCAATCCATGCTTAATAGACTCTTCGAATCAATTTTCATTTTTTCCACTAGATCCTTAAACTTACGAAACCTTGCAGGTGAGGATCTTACATATTTAATGGCATTCTGAATTGCTTTAATACACCTATGTATCTCCTTCACACCATCAGAAACAATAAGATTCAGAATATGTGCACAACAACGCAAGTATAAGAACTCCCCATCGCAAACTAGACCATTCCAATGTTTCAACACATCTTTCAAAGTTGATATTGCAATGTCATTTGAAGAAGCATTATCCACTGTTATAGTAAACAACTTATCAATGCCCTAGAATAACAAGCATCTCTCAATCTCTGCTGCAATAGTATCGCTTTTATGGTTTTCAACCACACAAAAATTCAAGATTCGCCTCTGGTAAGCCCAACGATCATCAATCCAGTGAGCAGTTAGACACATATAGTTGGTATTCTGATTGGAAGTCCATGTATCAGTGGTAAGAGAAACACGAGCATTTAAAGTTTTAAAATACCTTTTCAACCTTCTTGCTTCTTCATAATATAGCTTCAAACAATCCCTAGTTATTGTTGCTCTTGAGGGAATTTGAAAACGAGGTTCTAGTGCCCTTAACAGCTCTTTAAAACCTTCACCCTCCACTATTCGAAAAGGCAGTTCTTCCAATACTAAAAATTTGACTAGAGCTCTCCTATAAAAGTCTTGACTAAAGACATGATGAGTCAAACTTTTACCACTAGCCCTTGTTGAGAACATGCATTGCTTTAGCTTGTTAGCCCTATGGGGATTTCTAGGACACCTCTATAAATGTTTAACAAGTCCACTTGTCCTGTGTGTGGTAGGGTGGCAGGCAATTGTTGTTGGGCAATACTTGCACTTTGCCCTTGGTTCTCCATTTTTCCATTGCTCTGGAGGCAATTTCTCAAAATGTAACCAAGCTAAAGATTTTTTTCTCTTTCTTGATCCATCAACATTTGATTCATCCCCCTCTTCTTCACCTTTTGATGTAATAATTTGATCTTCATTATCTGCTTGTCCTAAAGCTCTTTCAGTAGTTTGTGACTGTGTTTGAGTATTTTCTTCAGTCATTTGAGTGTTTCCTTCAGCGGTGTTTGTGACGGAGTTCATGTTTCTTCACAAAGAGAAGTTCTTCAAAATGATCATAAAGGCTCAATTAGAGATAGTAAAATTTTCGTACATTTTAATAGGAACATCTAGAAATCAAACACTGAACTGAATCTACAATTATATATATATATATATTACTACTTCACAAACCATCAACCAGAGAATGATATGTACAAATTATAAAAGAATTCAACAACCAAGAAAATTCACAGAACTAGCGAATGAGGCAAATCAGACAGATCCCAATCGACCAATCTATAGTCCATATTCATACAAAGAGGCAAAATATCGTGTTGGATATTAAGATGAAATCAACAAGCATGGATGGAGAAAAAGATATTAAAAGGGATTTTTAAAGACCCCAAGATCAAGAAAAGCAGTGAAAACTCACGGGTATGAGAAACAGAGAAAGCAAAAATTGAGGTTGGAGATGAGATGAGGCCCGTCTGCAATCTACACTCTACAGCAAAGACCAACGCTGACGATAGACTGGGGCTGGAGAGAAGCTACGAAGCTTGCGACTTCAATGGAGGCTAGAACTGGAGAGTGGGACCATGACTCCGTGAGTGAAGAGCCGAAGCCGAGACGAGAGAGGTAGAGTGAGTAAGCACTGAGTAGTGAGCACTGCTCTCTGACGGCCTCTTTCACACTTTGCAGATGAGAGAATAGCTGAGAGCCCGAGAGCGGAGACTAAGAGGCGACTCGTGAGAGTGCAACCAGGACCAACCACGCTGTACTGCTCCGTCGGCCGTCGTTGTCTGAAATCTGAAGAGAATGGAAGTGAAAATTGAAAATTGGAGATTGGAGTCAGAGAGACCGAGAGAGGCTGTGCCGTAGAGACTAGAGACAATCAGACATTTAGAGTTTCAGACACGGCTTACTAGAGTGGCGCCTAAGGGCTTCCGCTTCGTATTTCATTTCTTTTTACATTTTAACAAATAATAATATTAATAGAAACTAATTGATAATATAAATAAAATATAAGAATTAAAAAAAATACATATCGGGACAAGACCGACACGGGACGACCCCGTCCCGTGTCCCGTCCCGTCCCGAACCTATTTTTGTCCCCTCTTGATTTGTCTTGTTCCAAAAAATTTCGAGACAGACCTGTCCTGTTCCAATAAGGTCGGGACCGAGACGGGTCAACCAGGATGGGCAACTATGAACACCCCTAGTCTAAAGTCAGGATTGGCGGGCCCTCCATGTCCAGGTATCCCACTTCCAATTTGCCATAAACGAAAAATATAGTTTTTTCCCGCCAACTATAAATGGGAATATATTCAATTTATTTTATAAATGCCTCTACTTGAATTCAAAGATTTAAAACATGGAGCCTATCAACAAGCCTTGTGTGTCAAGCGACGATTAATATTATTGTTTTCCCAAGTCTATAATTACGATTTTATAATTGTATTCCAAAAGCAATTGAATGTCAACCTATAAAGGAACAATAGCAAAAAGCGCAGTAGTTAAAAATAAAAGTGTTAAGATGGATGCTTGGTTATGTGAAAAAAATATAAAATTCATATATATATATATATATATATATAGAAACGGGTTGGTGTGACATTATTGAACAAAAATAATAAAAAAAATTATTAAAGATAATTTGAACACATATATAAAAAGGGTCATTAGAGACACTAGAAGTAAGAATGATGATTATATTAGGGCTGGTAAAATGAGCAAACCTATTGGTTATGGGATTAGCCTATGATGAGCTTAAGGACTGAATGTTCAGTTCTAAAAGGCGGACTCCTGGCAGGCTAGTATTTTACCAACTTAGCCACTTTTTTAAAAAAAAAAAAAAATTTTGGGTTAAGGTTCTTAATTGCCCTGGAAGTTTTCCCCGAGGAGCACTCAGCACCCGGAAGTTTTTGTTTGTTCTTAAATATCCCGGAAGTAATTTATCGTAGCAATTATGCCCCGAGTTAACGTTCAGGCAAACGGACATCTGTAAATGACACGGTGTCGAGAAGATGGACGACACGTTGGTGAATGAGATGGTGACGTGGCACTGTTGTGTCAACAAAATAAAAGTTGATGCCGAAGGTCAATGTTGTCATCAAAGGTCGCTCTTGTCGTCGACATTGAGAGCTAGGGTAAAGCAAAGTGAGGTGGGGCGCATGTGAAGTCTGAGAAGAGGACAGAGCAGAGATTCGACCGGATTGAAAAGGTATGGAATATTAGATCCTCGTCATTAGGTTCTTATTTTCAAATCCGGTGTGGCGAAGTAATTTTCCTTTTTTAAATTAGTTTAGGGTTGAGGTGAGATGACCAGGAGGGGTGAATTTGAGAGGGCTTTGAAGACAATTGATGAAACGAAGAATGTTTGGGGGGTTCTGTGAATGATGATAGAGACAGGGTAGATGATAAGAGCATTGCTAGTGGAAATGATAATGATGATCCTGATCCTGATCCTAAGTCAAACAATGATGATGATGATGATGCTGAAGTACGTGATGAGGCATATTGGAGAGGTAAACTGAATTTTTTGGATGAAGTGAGGCAGGACCTGCGAAAAAGGAGGCAAGAGCTTCGTGAATCATTTGTTAATCGATAAATACCCTTATCGACTAATCAAGATTAATCAATATAAATAGCTTTTTGTCTTCTACTGTTGCACATCCCACGTATCCTTTGTGTCTTTTACTGTCGCACATCACACGCATCCTTTGGTAACACCATTCTAACTCAAAGCTTATTTTCAACTATATTATTGAATATATTCTTGAATATATATTAGAGAAATGGTCTTCTCGAATATATATTTGAGAACTGGTCTTCTTGAATACATATTCGAGAACTGATCTTTGGTCTTCTCTGCTCTGTCCTCTTCTCAGACTTCACATGCACCCCACCTCGCTTTGCTTTGCCCTAGCTCTCAATGTCGACGACAAGAGCGACCTTCGATGACAACATTGACCTTCGGCATCAACTTTTATTTTGTCAACACAACAGTGCCACGTCACCATCTCATTCACCAACATGTCGTCCATCTTCTGACACCGTGTCATTTACAGACGTCCGTTTGCCTGAACGTTAACTCGGGGCATAATTACTACGATAAATTACTTCCGGGATATTTAAGAACAAACAAAAACTTCCGGATGCTGAGTGCTCCTCGGGGAAAACTTCCGGGGCAATTAAGAACCTTAACCCAAAATTTTTTACATTTTGTTTTCTTTTAATAAAATATATTTTAATTCATAATTACTTAAAATGAAACATTCAAATTGAAATTATCATAAATAAAATATGAAATTCAAAATTCTAAACATCCCAAAATATTAAACATATATGATACATCACCCTAAATGATTAAACATACATCTAAAATTGAAACATAACAAATCCAAATCAACAATAACACAAACACAATGTCACAAATTACTCTCAAATGCTCAACCATTAGCCATCATTCAATATTTATAGGGTTCGAAAAATGATATGAAGATTTGAAATTATTTGGTTGAGCTTGAGAAATGGGACCATCTTTTTTTTGCTTAGCTAACTCTACTACAAATAAAATTCATAATACAAAATGAAAGATATATTACATTATGGTAATTTTAAATAATGAAAGTGAGATAAAGACTAAAGGAATAAACATAATTATATTTGAAGGGCAAGAGAAAATTTAAATAAAATAAAATAAAATGGGCTGGCCTGCTAACTTACACTGCCGTGGGTTTGATCTTGGTAGTTAGGAGTTTAAAAGATCTATTTTAAAATGAGTCTAATTTTTATCATTCTAACCCACCGCCACTTCTTAGTGTGTTGGCAGGTTAAACTTGCGAGTCCAACCTATATTACTAGTTTTAGATTAGACAATATAAAGCCTGTTAAAAAAGGGCATAAGAATTGAAAAAAAAATTAATAAAATTATAGACTAACAATACTTTTTATTTAATAATCAGTTAATATAATCTTTGATCCTTCAAATTTGCCCTCATTTTGGTTTTAGTCCCTCAAGTTTTAAATTATAAGTTTTGGTCCCTCAAAGAGTAAAATGGTCCAAATTTTCATTGGATTATGGGAACCAATATTTTAAATAAAAAGAAATTTGAGATATAAAAACCTACAGTTTGAAGCTTAAGAGATCAAAACTAAAATGAAACTAAACTTAAGAACTAAAATTTATATTAACCCTTTAATAATTTATTTAAAAATTTGGTTGTTAATCAAGTACAATGATATCATAATATCATGCAACTTATTTAGCTAATCTTAGCTGACCCCACCCATAGAATGAGATTTATTAATATTGTTGTAGGCTTTTCCATTTTAAAAGTTACACTTCAAGTGATCCAAGTTAAATAGAACTGGTTTTAGTGCTCATCATAATTATGAGCGTCATAATACTTGTCAAATCTTAACCATTAAAATTTAATATAGGTACATAATGCAAGTATAATCTTTTAATATTTAATATTTTTGGTTTCTTAAAAAATATTTTCCTTTAATAGGTACATAATCCAAGTACAATCTCTTAATTGTAAGTTTTTTAAAATAATTTTTATTTAAAAATCATCGGTTAAAAATTTTAAATCTTTTTTTTTTTACCAGTGTTAAAAATTTTAAATCTAAACCATTAAGATCATATTTGAACGATTCAGATTTCAATATAGTGTGAGTACTATAATGCTCATTATTATGATGAGCATTAAAACTGGTTCCCAAGTTAAATGAGTATTTCCAAAATTTTCCATATTAGGCAGAAAAATAAGCAATATTTTCTAACTACATTTTTGGAAACATAAAATTGTTAAACTATCATGTTTTTCTCCTTATGGCGACAACGTATTTAGAACTACCAAACCCGATTTGAGTACTACCATACTCAATTGAAGAGAACTTTTTCGGCGTGATTTTTTCTTAATTCACAAAATTTAAATCTTCAACCCTACTTAAAGACAAGCAAGTTCCTTCTACTCATTTTCGACCATGTAAAGGGTCTATAAAAGGGAGTCCATGTTTTCTCCATTTGATGTTATTCCCTCCAATGGCTCTCTCTTTGTTTACTTGCCTCATCCAACAAAGCATTCCCCATTTTCTCTCCAAGAATCAAGAAATCTTAGCAGAATGCCATCGCTAATGGACCACTGCTCAACCTATCATATTCTACATCCTTAACAAAACCGAGACACCAAATACAGCTATATATATATATATATATATATATATATATATGCGTGTGTGTGTGTGTGTGTGGGGTAAGAGTGATTCAACTACCAGTCTTAATTTTTGGACTATACTACTCTTGGTCTTTCTCTTTGTTAATTTTTGTTGCATCTGGAGATAATGTCCGAATGATTCCCAGTTCCAGGTGAATAAGAGCTGGATTCACACTTTACAAGAGTTAGCCTAGCCAAGATTCCTGCAAAGTTAAGTCCATACACCAGGAAGAACTCGTTCAAGTTTGCAAGTAAGATCATAATGAACATTAAATAAACATAATTTCACAGGCTGTGTATGATAATTTCAAGATGGTGAAAGGACCTTGGACTGAACAAGAAGTTGAATCCAGCAAGGGATTGACCACACAAATGGTACATGTGGCCAATGGCATGCCTGACAAATCCCAAGTTCTCAGAGGAGAGGATGGAGCTCATAAAACCTCTGTCCCCTGTCTATATAGTTGATGGCATTTTCGATGTTTATGGATCTCCGGACAAACTTGCTACAGATGGAACCAGTTTTGATGCTCATTGCTTTGATGAATACCCTAAACTCATCAAATCTGGATCGTCTATATCTGATTTGAACGATTTAGATTTACAATCTTTAATTAATTATTTTTAAATAGAAAAAAATATTTTTTTTTTAGAGAATGATAGTTGAGAGATTATCTCTATTCTAGATTATATACATATTAAAATAATTATTTTGAATAAGTAAAATAAAAAAAATCAAATCTAAATCATCCAAATGAAATATGAACGATTCAGATTTGAGAAGTTTAAGGTAGGATGCTTATCAGGGTGATGAGCACTGAAGCTAGTTCCATTTATAGATGCAGTTAATATATACAAATTATTGAAACATGTCTATTCAGAAAGGAGAAGACAAAAGAAGAAAAAAAATCCATAATAAATATAATTATTTCTGCTGCTAATTAAATCACCTTCTGTGATTGCAGATGGGAATTGAAAGCTGCCGAGAAGTTACCACAGCAGCTGAGAATATGTTTCAATGCTCTTCATCGCATTACAAATGAATTCTCCAACAAGGTCTATCTAAGCATGGATGCAGCCCTTTGAACACACTACACAAATTGGTTAGAAAACAAAGCTAAAGCAGTCCAGTTAAGTTGGTTGAATAGCTTCATTTTACAGAGTTTCAAACTTGAACTACTAACGCATGTTGCAGTGGGTTCAATTGTGCAATGCCTTCCTCGTAGAAGCAAGGGGGTTTGCTTCTGGCCGTACACCAAGCACTGAGGAGTAATTGAAGAATGGGATCATCAGCTCAGGAGCACAAGTGGTTCTTCCAGGACACTTCTTATTTCTCCTAAATCATGATATAACCAAGGAAACTGCAGCCATTATGGATGATATAAATATATATATATATATATATATATATATATTCATGGCCTTGTTTCTTTAGTACCCTCATCTTCGACGGGAACACATTCCATGCTCATTTCAATGATGAACATGGAGTGCTCATCACAATTTGGACTATCTATATTGATTTTGGATGGTCCAGATTAAATTTAAATGGTTTATATAATTTAATTAATTTTTTATTTTAATAGGTACATAATTTAAAATAAAGGTAATCTTATAACTCATATTTCTTTAAAAAAAATAAATTTATTGTAAAAAAATTATATATTAAAAATTTTAAATCTGAATTATTCATATAAAGTTTTGAATGGTTTAGATCGCATTATAGTGATCAATACATAGTGCTCATCACTGGGAATTCATTCTTCACCTGTATGATGATTTGCAAGGATACACGGTACCAAGTTAATCTGACGAGTTTATTTGCCTGCCCATTTAAAAAGAAATTATATATGTTTTGTTAACATGAGGTTTTTCCCCATTGATTGTTTCGCTCTATTAATATATATATATATATATATATATATACACACACACACACACACACTCTCTCTCTCCATTCTTATAAAGCATATTCTCATGGTTCTTAATATAAAACATTTTTGCTTAATGTATCAACTTTTTCCCTAAATATCAAGATTCTCTAACTAACTAAATAATTTCCTAACTAATTAAAGAAATTCCTCTGATTAATAACCTTCATTAAGGATAATCTTAAAACTTTAATCAAATGTATTCATTTTTAAAATGTGAAGAGGGAAAAAAAAACTCAAAAGGACCCTTATTCCCTGTTAAAATTAAAAATTTAAAGACAGACACTTATACATCGATACAAATGTATATGAATCCACAAGCACGTTGGACATTTCGTATCTTGTAGTATATCATATATTCAATAAGAATGGAACCAACCAGTCCCTAAGAAATATTTTCACTAATTAATTTAACTACATAAAGTAACTATTTTTATTGCAACCTAGAAAGTTAAGCCTTACATTTCCCTCACAATTGGGAATGTAACTTTTCAAAATATAATGCTGCGTAATTGAACCAAGTGAGAAGCTTAAGGATAGGGTGATATATCATCAAAAGGCACACTATTGTAGTGTATCAATTAAATTATTTAAATAATCAAATCATATATTTGATTATGACTCCTTGCTGAAATTGGCAAAGAGCCAAAGACATCATCATCAAAAATGGTTTCTTTTAGCTTTAGGGAACACATTTGATTTCAAAAAAGATTATGTCCCCTTCAATTTGTAAATTTCTTACATGACCCCTTCCTAAGTCATAACAATAATTTAGCCTTGAAAGTCACAAATAAATTAAATTTATTAAGCATGATAACATAAATAATTAATAAGACTGCCCGTTTGATTTGTAAAGATAAGTACTAACATTTTTTTTAAAAAATTTTACCTGTTTGATTCTTCTCCTTTTGACCAACTCCAACTTACTGGGCAAAAGTGTGCGCGCTATTCCAACTAACCAACTCGTTAAAAATGAGCTGTATTTAATTTGTTGATCAATAAATGCATTTTTTTGGGGAAAAAATGATAATATTAAATAAAGTAGGGTTTTGCATAGTACAAAAACTTACCTTACAAATAAAATGATGAAAAAAAAAACACTAAGAAAAGAAGACAACTTTAACATAATACTCCTCTGGTCCTATTTATAGGGTAGAGAGAGAAGGTATTTTTTGGTCCTATTTATAAGGCACTGAGAGAAATTTTTTGCATAGATGTACAATTTTACCCTTCATTTATTGTTGTGTTAACTTTGTTTATATGAGGTATAATGTATATTAAATAGGGATAAAGTTGGAAAGTCATTAAATTTTAAATGAGAGTTAATGAAGTTTAAGGTTTTCCTTGGTCTGTGTGAAACATGTTGAAAGTGCCTTATAAATAAGACCAGAGGAGTAACTACTAAAGGCATGCGATAAGGAAGAGCAAGCCTGCCATATTATGTTGGTCGAAGTGAAAGGATCAATTGGGATACGGATGAATCTTTTGTCAACACAAGCAATTGCTAATGAAGGTCTTGATATTACTTCAGGGAGATTATAATCATGGATCCAAAACAGAAAGGCTCTGAAGCATTGACCAATAAAAGAGATGCCAACTGCGGAATGACGCTTCCATAAAAACTCCTTCAAGGGCAAACAATGATTTTTCTAGTTCTACCTAGTTTTTAATCAACTTTTTTTAGTTTGACATGATTAATTATTAATTGAAAGAAGATTTAAAAATATTATAGAGACCTAATTAAAATAAGTGAAGTTATAAAGATTCAATAAAAAGAATAAAAATACAAAGAAAAGATTAAAAATAGGTGAAACTATAAAGACTTAACAAAAAGTAGAGTGAAAAAAAATGAAAGGACCTAATTAAAATTTAAGTAAAACTATAATAACTTGCAGATTAATTATCTTTATAACATTTAATATTATCAGATTAGATTTGGATATTGTCATATTTATTTGAAAACAACTCTTTCAGGGTGATTTTTTTTATTTATAATATTCAAGTCTCCAACTTCACTTAAAGACAAGCGAGTTAAATTTTACTTAATTTTTTTCAAAACAAAATTAAAAAAAATCTTTTCGGCCATACAAAGGGTCAATAAAAAGTGTTCATGCTTTCTCCGCTCAACATGTTGAATCCAATGGCTCTTTTTCTTCGCTTACTTGCTTCAGCAAAGAGAGCAAACCCATTTTCTCTCCAAGAATCTACAAATCTTAGAAGAATGCCAAACCATAAATGGAATATTGCCCAGGAAGATAACCTGTCTTATTCTGCATCCTTAGCACAAAGCAGACTCATGACTCATAATACAGCATATATGGTAACAGTGATTCATCCACCAGTCTCAATTTTTGGATTATACTACTACTCTTGGTTTTTCTCTTGTTACTTTTGATTCGTCTTCTTCTCACAAATCTTTCAGGATGATGTTCATATCAAGCATGCAAGGAAACTGAAAGAAGCCAAGCATGTTTTGATGAGCAAAGTGACGGAGGAAGGAAGGGAAGTTTTTCGCATGATTGATGCTATCCAAAGGCTTGGCATTGAGTACCTCTTTGAAGAGGAGATTGAAGAAGCTCTACAAAAGAAATCATCCATGGTTTCTAAGCTATACTGTAGTAGTGATCGAGAACTGTTGGATGTAGCACTTCAATTTCGTTTATTGAGACAGCAAGGATACTTTGTTCATGAAGGTAGCTATTCTTAACTTCTTACTAGTCATCTATAACTGACATTTTAGTGTAAGTTATTCTCAGCTTTCTGTAGCTACAGAACCTTAGAGATAAGAACAGGTTTTTTGAACTGATAATGTTGCAAATTACAGACGTATTTAACACCTTCATGGACAAGGAAGGGAATCTCGGAGAAAACATTAGAGCAGATATCATGGGGCTTCTCGAATTGCATGAAGCCTCTCAGCTCAGTGTAGAAGATGAGAACAATCTCGACGAAGCAGGAGAAAAAAGCCGGAATCTTCTTGCTGCATGGCTGCTGTCTGGAAATCAAGATCCTCGTCTGGCCAAACATATCTCAGGTGCATTGCAGCTTCCTTTTCACAAAAGCTTGCCCAGGTTTTCACACAGAAGATTTTGTTCGAATGATTTCCAGTTCCAAGTGAATAAGAGCTGGATTCACGCTTTACAAGAGTTAGCCAATTATGATTCCTGCATAGTTACGTCCGTGCACCGGGAGGAATTCGTTCAGGTTTGCAAGTAAGTTCAGGATGCATATTAAACAAACATAATTTCCTGAGCTGTGTGTGTGTGTGTGTACTGACTTGTATGATAATATCACAGATGGTGGAAGGACCTTGGACTGAACAAGGAGTTGAAGCTTGCGAGGGATGAACCACACAAATGGTACATGTGGCCAATGGCATGCCTGACAGATCCCAAGTTCTCAGAGCAGAGGATGGAGCTCATAAAACCCCTGTCCCTTGTCTATATAATTGATGACATCTTCGATGTTTATGGATCTCCGGACGAACTTGCTCTGTTTACAGATGTGGTTAATAGGTACAAATTATTGAAACAAAAAAAGGAAAAAAAATTCACAATAATTAAAATTATTTCTGCTGCTAAATCACATCCGTTGATTGCAGGTGGGATTTGGAAGCTGCTGAGAAACTTCCACAACACCTGAGAATATGTTTCAATGCTCTTCATGGCATTACAAATGAATTCGCCCAGAAGGTCTATCTTAAGCATGGATGCTACCCTTTGAACACCCTACGCAAACTGGTTAGAAAGCAAAGGCTTCAGATTCAAAAGATAAAGCAGTCTAGTTAAGCTGGTTGAATAGTTTTATTCTAGAGTTTCTAACCTGAATCACTCTCGCATGTTGCAGTGGGTTCAATTGTGCAATGCCTTCCTTGTAGAAGCAAAGTGGTTTGCTTCTGGTCATGTTCCTAGTACTGAGGAGTACTTGAAGAATGGGATGATCAGTTCAGGAGTACATGTGGTGCTAGGACACACCTGGTTTCTCCTAAATCATGATATAACCACCCAAACAGGAGGCATTATGAATGACACTCATGGCCTTGTTTCTTCAGTAGCCTCAATTCTTCGCCTCTCTGATGATTTACAAGGATACATGGTACCAAGTTATCAGTCTGACAAGTTTATTTATCTGTCCATTTGAAAAGGAAATGATGTTTCGTTGACAAGAGATTTTGATCATGCAGGAAGATGATCAGAATGGTCATGATGGATCTTATGTGGAGTGTTACATGAAGCAGCACAGAGGCATTTCTGCAGAAGAAACACGACAACATGTGAGCCACATGATCTCAGGCTCATGGAAACGTCTCAATCAAGAATGCCTTGCACCATTTCGATTTTCATCAACCTTTAAGAAGGTATGTCTCAACACTGCAAGGATGGTGCGTCGCATGTACAATTCTGATGGCAATCACTGCTTCTTAGATCGAGAAAATCTTATGAGTTATTTGCTGTGAGGTATCGTAGGTCACCATTTAATTGGTAGAGCGCCCAATGATCAGACTGAGAGACATGTTTCTTTACTTTTGGTCCAAAATATATAGCGAAGATATACTCCTTTAATCCTATTTATAAGGCATTTCTAGCACATTTCACAAAGTTTAAAAAAAATTTAAATTATATTAACTCTTTGTTAAAATATAACAATTTTTCAACTCTACTCATATTTAATATATGCACATATAAAAAAGAATAGCTATCTACCAAGAAAAACATTTTCTCTCTACCTCCTAAATATACCGGACAAGAGGAGTAGTGCGTATATATTTTTCGTCAAGACTGGCCGTCCTTTATTTATTGTTGGTCTTATTGTGTTTAGTGAAGATTGGATTTCTTTTTTTTTTTTGTTGGTGAACAGTGAAGATTGGATTTTTTTATCATTGATGTATCATTCAATTCCACACATGAATATTAACTTCAATGAAGCATAAAAATTGAACAGTCCTAAACATTTTTATAGAGTTTAAGATTATCGACGATCACTCTATAACAACTACAAAGTAGTTAACCGGAGTATGTATTAGGGAGAATTAGAGAGAAAGACCAATAGGCAGTAATATTTATGGGAGAGGATTATAAAAATTAAAATTATTTAAAAGGACCAAATATTCAAATATAAATTTAAAAATACCATATTGCCCCTATCCAGACCTCCTATATTCCCCCTTACATTTTATTTTTAAAACTAATGCAAATTACCAAATTTCACTAAATTAAACTTGATTTCTCTCAAAGTTCACAACCTGCGTAAAAATCAATTTAAAGAATATGCAAACATTGTTGATTCATATAAAAACTAAGTTTCATTTTTTTTTATAAAAAATTAAAATTTTCTTTTTAAAAACCTTCATATATTTTAATTGAAAATAAAAGTTATATACTTTTACCAAAATTTAGATTATTACTTAATTTACTATATTCACGGTTTTAAAAAATTCAAAAAAAACTTGTATAATTTAATTTTTTATTTAATAAGAAATTTATATCTGATTTAAAAATAGAAATATCATGTAATGTTAAGAAATTTAAAGAATTCAGTTAATTTATTATAATTTTATAAGACCCCTCCACAAGATCATTTAAAAAAAGCCACCTAATTATATAATAAAAAAATTCATGTAACGTTAAGAAATTTAAAGAAATCATTTTCTTTGAATTTTTAAATATTTCCTATATAATGAATTAAAAATAATCTAAATTTTAATAAAATTATATAATTTTTATCTTTAATTAAAGTCTGTGATGATCTTAAAAAAAAATTTAATTTTTATAAAGAAATAAAGTTTTGATTTTTACATGACTGAATGATGTTTGCGTATATTTTTAATTGATTTTATGTAGTTTGTAAATTTTGAGAGAAACTATGTTTAATGCAGTTAAATTTATTAATTTGCATTAGTTTTAAAAATAAAATGCAAGAGGAAATATAGGAGAAAATGTAAGAGGTTTGAATAGTAACAATATAGTATCTTTAAATTTATATTTGAATATTTGGTCCTTTTAAATAATTTTAATTTTTATTATCCTTTTCTATAAATATCATTCTTTATTGGTCCTTCTCTCTAATTCTCCCTATATATTACTCCCCTCTGGTTCTTAATATGAAATCCTTTTAATTAATTCATAAAATTCACAAAAAAGTAATTAAGATCGTTATTAATATCTAAAAAAATTTGCGACATTTTTTTTTGAAAATACCCTTGTCATTTATTGATTAAAACCTTATGCGCAGAGATAACAATGATCCAATAAATAGGAGGAAATTGAACATTATATTTAGAATTGAAGGAGAATATACTTGTCCTTGATATTATTCAGATTCTAGAAAAATTTCCTAATTTTTTTTTTAAAAAAAGCCTCTTTGGATTCTTTGTTGTATTCATTAATTTTATCATTCTATTCCTATTTATGAATTACTTGTAGAGTTGTAGGAAAAAATTTATTCCTATATATAAGTCATTTGTGAGATAATTAATGAGCATTTCCAATTTTACCCCCTTGATTTAATAAATAAAGAGAGAGATAAAATAAATATGTGAGAGATAATATAAAACATATTTTTAATACCCTTTCTTTAATAAGGGCAAATGTTACAAAAAAATTATAAATTAAATGTATTTCTTGACTTGCAGGCTTGAGTACAAATGACTTATAAATATGAACTGAATAGTATTTATTTATAGCCTTGGTTTGCAATGAATGTAATTAATGTTATACGGTGGAATTTAATACAATTAGTAAGAGCATTGGCAGGGAGTATTTAAAAAAAGTTTTTACGAGATTTAATGATCCACCGAACTTTTAATGACTAAATATATATGTGTGCGTGTGCGTACAAGTATCTCAATCGCAACTTGGCAATGCAATACCAGAAATTCTCAAGCAAAAAGACAGTCTTAAAATGTCAAACTTACACCATCTTGCCCTCTTCCTTGCTCTTTTATCAGCATCGTGCTTCTGCAATACAATTATCAGAGCCATGGATGGTACCAACGAGGAGGCTCAAGCAAGGATTCAAATCCACATGGTGTTGCCAAAGGAAGCAAAGCCAGTGAGAATAACTTGCAGCTCAGGAATAAGCTTTGTGGTTCGAGCAGGAGAAGCAGTTGAATGGCTGGTTCCTGTTCAGCAGGTTGAAACGTGCCAGGCAGTATGGGGCCATTCCTCTGCTTCTTTTAATGCTTTTGAGCCAAAAATTGACTCAGGTCATGCCCTCATCTATTGGCTGGCAAAGCTTGATGGTTTCTTTCATAGTTGGGATCAGGTCAACTGGGATAAAAAGGCTAGTTGGATTGGATTCAATGAACACTAATAATGGATGCTGCTGCTGCTGCTATCTAATGATGAATAAATCAAATGATAAATCTAAACTATTGCCTGTTAATACTCCTTCTTGTTATCCATTTTACTTGTACTAAATAAATAATGACTAGTGTTCTAAAAACTTGTGTTAGGAACATTCAAGTGAAGACGACCAATTAATGGTTGCAACTTAATGCATAAAAATAAACCCCCCCCCCCCAATAAATATTGCCAAGAAATAAATAATTAATATAGGTGACTGGGTGAAAATGGACCATAAGACCAAGTCAAATGCATCTCGTACTCCCGCCCGTCCTGTGTATGACTGTATGAGTTACAATTTTTGAGATAGGTTACACTTTTCATTTATCTAAAGTTTAATTCACTTTTTTTTTTACGCTAATTAATTATATGTTTCTTTTATCTTTTTTTTTTTTAAGTTTATACTCATTTTCTTTTGTCTCTTTTCTCATTTACCTATTCATAAACACGGGCACGTTTAGAGAAAAAAAAAGTTGCAAATCTTATCCACTTATTTTTGTCAACCAATTTACGTAATTTCATTATTTGTGACTTACATATATAAATGGAGGGAGTATTTAATAGGAAAAAATTTAAGTCAAGTTCTTTATATTCATTATATCAAATTCTTCAATCATACATAATCATGCATCTTTTTTTGTTTCATAATATAGATTTATAATTAAATGCCATCAAGGAATACATTTATCCTTAATATTACTCAGGTTCTGGAAGGAATTCTTAGTTTAAAAAATAAGTCACTTGGGAATTCTCAATTGTATTGATTACTTTTTTATTTATGGCCTTCATTTGCAATTAATGTAATTAAAATGCTATAGGAATTTAATATAATTAATGAGGGTATCGGTCAAAAGAGTTGAAATTTTTTAACAAATTTAATGATGTAATTAATTCATTTTCTCACTGCACCTTCTCTCTCCACATGTCACATATGCATATAAGTATCTCAGTCCCAATGCAATCCGAGCAATTCCCAGGTAAGAAGATAGTCATACTTATAATTTAAGTGCCTCAGAAAATGTCAAACTTACACCATCTTGCCCTCTGCCTAGCCCTTGCATCAGCATGCTTCTGCAATACAGTTATCACAGCCATGGATAGTACCAACGAGGAGGATCAAGCTAGAATTCACATCCACATTGCGTTGCCAAAGGAATCAAAGCCAGTGAGCATAGTATGCAGCTCAGGAAGCTTTGTGCTTCTTGGAGGACAAGATCATGAATGGAGTGTTCCTGTTCACCAGATTGAATCGTGCCACGCAATATGGGACCATTGCTCTGCGTCTTTTAATGCTTTTGAGCCAAAAACTGACGCTGGTCATACCCTCATCTATTGGATGGCAAAGCCTGATGGTTTCTTTCATAGTTGGGACCAGGTTAACTGGGATAAAAGGGTTGGTTGGATTGGACTCACTGAACATTAGTGGATGCTGCTGCTACTATCCTATGATAAGGAAATCCTTTGGCTCAAATGATAAATCTTAATTTAAGTAATATCATTCAGAACAAGATTAAACTATTGCCTGTCAATAACCCTTCTTGTTATCCATCAAAAATTAACATACACAAATGATACATAAGTGAGATATAAACAATGACTACAGTGTTCTATACGCTTGTGTTAGGAACATCCGAGAGAGGACAGTCAATTGGCACTAAAATCTCAAAGAGTTAGCGGACACCAGATTTTGTCAGTTCTAAGGTCGACTTCTTTCACTAAAACAAAAACCTGTCCACAGAATCACAAAGTAAAATCTTTACTGAGAAATTGTATAAGACAATCAATTTTGCTAAATTATTGTTATAGACGAGGTATAAATACGCCCCGGAATAGATCATGACGATCTACCATACCATAGCATTAAAGATGACAACAACACTAGAATAAGGAGATCAAAGAACTCATATATATGTAAATGACTAGTTACTCTGAGAGAGAGAGAGAGAGAGAGTCACGCACGAGGGAAAGATGAACCAAATTCAAGCTTTCAATTACGAGCTCAGAATGAACCAACAAAATTAAGGATCAGAATAACAAGAATAATAGAACAGAACACGAGAGAAAATGCACTAGCCTACTTCTCTTCCGGCAAACTTAGTTTAAAACGATTCCCGAGTTTCACTATCTTCTTTGCTTCTAAAATCCTTTTCTTTTCCGCCAGTTTATCCACCACAAGCTGAGGAATTGATGCTTCAACATAGTTCCCACTCTTGAAAATATCCTTGCATACCTTGTATGCAGAATCCAGACCACCATTCTCACATAGAAAGGGAATCAGCAGTTTAAACGTTGTGTTATTCGGTTTGTAATCGGTGTTTGCTATTTCACGGTACCACTTCTGAGCTTCATCCAAATTTTTCTCAGCGACAAAACCTTTAATCAAAGCATTAACGCTATAGACATCAGGTTTGACACCCTCATTTCTCATCTTCTCAATCAATTCAAGGGCTCCGTTCATGTTCTTCTGCCCAACCAATCCCTCTAACTTAGCATTGTAGCTCCTGATATCAGGAACAACGTTGTTTTTCAGCATTTCGCTCCATATTTTGTCACCATCTGAAAAACGACCATTCACATATAACTCATCCAGCAACGTATTGAAAGTTATCAAATCCGGGTTTAAGCCCTTCTTCTTCATCTCGTCGAGCATAGCAAGGGCGGTATCAAAAGAACCCATTTCACAAAATGCCTTAATAACAGTATTATAAGACACCATATCCGGTTCAAAGGACAGCTTTGGGGGCAGCTCCTTGAAAAGGCGATCTATCATGTCAAATTTTTTAGAATGTAAATAAGCAGACAAGAGGGCGTTGAAAGATAGCACCGTTCGGGTACAATTTCTCTCGGGCAATCCATCGAACAGCTCGTGCGCATTTTCGGACATGCCCGATATACCATACAGTCTTATCAGCCGAGCCGAGAAGCCTTCTCTGGAAATGTTTTTGTACTTCTTTTGATCTTCCAGGATCTCTTGGACCAAATCGAACTGCTTGGCGGAGGCAAGGCGACGAACAATGAGTTCGTAAACGCCATCTTTGTTCCGGAAACGGTCGACTTCGGAGGCTTTCTTGAACTTCTGGACGAGGAGTTTGTAGTCCCTCTCCCTGTAAAGCTTCTTCGACAACGACCGGATGCTGGTGGGTGCGGCGGCGGCGGCGGCGGCGGCGGAGGTAGAGAAGTTGCGCTGGAGAAGGCGACAGAGAGACGACATCGTATTTGCGGAAGGAGTTCTCGGATTGAGGGTTTACCGAGGACTGAGGAATACCGAGTCTACTTCATGACCTTTTAATTAAACCCTCCGTTTTATCCTTTTATGGCTTTACCGTTTTCCTAGGCAGCGTTTTTAATCCGATCACCAAATAATATGGGGAAAAAAAAATACGAGCGAAGTTAGTTAGAAAAAATGACACACAAAAACAAAGTTTGGAAATTACTAAATATTAAATTAAGTTTGGTAACGAACTTTATTTAGAGTTGACAATACTGAATTTACAAATTATAACAAATTTTTGTTGAAATTTCTTATTTGATATTTAATATTCTTTCGATTCTTAATATAAAACCTATTTAAATTAATCTGATTAGATTAAAGAAATTAGATAAATTAGTTAATTATAAGAAATGTGGTATATTTTTCCTAAAACACCAAAATCATCTTCCTTAACATCTTTTTTCCCTCTTCTACTTGATTATAGTTAAGAGAGTATCTACAAGGTGATATAGGAAAAACTGATAAATATAAGAAAAAAGTTTTATATTTAAGACTAAAATTAACTCAACAATTAGATCCTATATTAAGGACTGAAAGAATAATTTTTAACTTTTTTTTGGGGTCATTTTTCTTTTTTTTTGTGTGTCAAAAGTGTCATTTTTCTATTTAGTTAAGAGTTTTTAATTTGATTTTTTTTTTTCAGCAGCAGCAAAATGTAATAGTCAGGGGTCTATCTATTACGCAAGAGATGATTAGACATATGGACTTCCGTTGGCCCCAAAAAAAATAGACATATGGACCTTTTTTTGGAAGTAATTCATAAATATTTCCCTAAATTTTATAAAACTTCTTATATTAACGTTCAAGTAAAACTTTTATAATGTGTTTTACACTGTAGATGAGAGGGAGTATGGGATGGAAGAACTAGATATTAACTGAAAAAGAAAGGATATTAAAAATTTATTAAGTTTGATGTACATGATCATCTCAATTTATTTCTTAAAAAATTGAAAAGCATATTTTCAACATTAAAATTTTTTGCCAAAATATTTTGTATGAAAATAAAACAATTTTTTTGGGCTGCAGGAAAATAAAACAAATTGAAACAGCTCACTTTGGGGGAAAAAAATTGCCAATCGATTCAATTTAGCAGAACATTTGCGCAAACCCAAAACAAAAAAAATTTCACCATCAAATCTGCGTATAAAGCCATTGCTAACATTGATTAGAGCCACGATCATGTGGCAGAAATTTTGCAAAACTTTTAGTGTTTAGATTAGCCTTTTAAAAGTAATTTTACTACATACAAAATAAATATGTAATATGAATTTTATCTCGACATATACGAAAAACACTTATTTTAAGTGCTTTTAAGGTAAACCAAACCCCTCCTATATGTGGCTGGCTAAAAAGGGAATGAGCAACGAGGACCTATGTTCGGCCTGAAAGTTCAGTCCTAACTAAAACAAATTTATCCTGAAAAAGGACAAGTTGATTGTCGAATCCAAATACTTAATGATTAAGAGGTTGTATGGTTAAACCAAGAGAACAGTCAACTTGTGTTGGATGGAGAAAAAAAAAAAGGAGTAAAGAATATTAAGGAAAAAAAACTCCCTAAAATAGTAAATTGTTACTATTTTTAGTTTTATAAATTTATTTTACTTACCATTATGATCATATTATTATAATTTTTATGCTTATGTTATTTACAAGTTTTTTCTGCATGGTTTATATTTTTTTTTGTTTTTTAAAAGGAAACTTTTTTATTTGTCAATTTTTAAGTACGGTCAAATATTAAGCAAATTTTTATCTATTTTTATTGTATAATTTTTACCATGATTTTTTATGCTCTAAGGATATTTGATTTTGAAATTAAAAAGGCAAAAAAAAAAAAAAAAGATGGAACATCTCTATTCCGTCCTGATTATGTTCCATCTCCACCATTTCTGTCATGATTATAGAAACAGGGTTATTCTAATTCTGTTTTTTTTTCATGAACACTCATACATCCAAACATACCTACAGGTTCAAGTACTCTTAGAAATCAGATGTATGTTAGGAAGAGGATGGAAAGTAGGGTTCCCCACAAAGTGCTAACACGGCCAAGCAAGCTTTGAACACCGTGCCTGGGTACCCCCATGTTGAAAACCTGTTAGGAGCTGAAAGATCTCATTGATGTTGTGTTTAATCACTCCAGTGATGCTGAATAGAGTGGCTTGACACTTGAGAGCTTTGTTTATTCTTATGTAATACAAAAAGGCAGATAATCCTTTTCTAATTTAGTTTTAAAATGTTAAATTTGTTTTTATGTACATTATAGAACATAGGACCTAATTATAACTTAAAATTACGAGTAATTATATCTCTTATGTTTTATCTTTTAATTAATATCCTTTTGAGCATTTTCAAATTTAATCAGGATAGCCATCTCATTATGATTTTTTTTTCCAATTATGACTTTGTTCATATCAAGAAGATGTTTGGGTAAAAACCAAATACTACCTCCAGTCCTAATTACAGGACCTAGTTGACTAATTTGGAGAGATTAAGAAATTTAGTTAAGTTAGTTATTTGTAATGAATAGGTATTGTTTTTTCTAAAATATCTTTGCTAATCAAGTTTTTTATCTAGAACTACCATTGTTAGAATGATTATCTTGAAAAAAAAATAAATATGAGAGACAAAGTAGATTGAGGTCTTATATTTAGGATCAAAATAAAAGTCAAACAAGATCTTATATTAAGAACGGATGGCAGTATGATTTTAAAAGTGATTTTAAGTACATAAAACAAACATGTGAGGAAAAATTTTTCTCAATAAAAACATTTTTTTAAAAATGAAACACCCCAAGTCTGCCGCTTTCAAATACAAAGCAACCCAGAAAAATGTCAACCCACCTCGAATGGGGGACTTCCTTATTTTAAGGTAATCTGGCGGGACATTCTACAAAGAAACGCGAATATAGAGAGAATAAAAAAGGAAAAACGAAAATGGCTTGAATAAGACTAATGGTTATTCTTATTTATAATTGATTGATGGTTAATCCTAATCCTAATCCTGATCCTAATTAAATATCTAATCCAAATCTTGATAATGTAATTAAATCCTATCTAAATCTATTAAAAATTCAAATAAATCACAATTATTAATGAATGAAGCTGACAAAATCTTATCTAAATCCAAAATCAGATGTATAATCAGGGAAGCAAAATGAAAAGGAAGTCATCACTCATCAGCTATGAAGATAAAATCATGACTACTTCTCCCTTTTATCTTCCAATCTTTAACAAGGCATGACAATCAAGCATTCAACATATTAACAACTTTATATTAAACTTTTCATCAACAAAACACAATATTGTTACATCCTCAACGAGAAATCCTAAAAACAAAATGTCATTATCTACAGAGAATGATCGCTGTCCACCCCAGCTTTCCGGTTTTCTCATATCACTCTTTCACCGGAAAAAACCTTTTCTACAAAAAGAGGCGCCTCATTAAAAAGATCTCTCTATACGGAGTCAACTGCCCCTTCAACCTGCTGCCTTGCAAGATACCTTTCCCTCCTCTCTTTCTGGTGAACATAAGCAGCCATTACACAGATTAAGCATTGGTCAGATGTATAATTGTAAGTAGAAACATAACTTCACCTCACAAGCCAACTAGATGTACTCACCCATTCATCAATGACAAGTCCCTCCCCAATAATCTTAGCCCCAGCCTCTTCCGGAGGTTTCTTTCGTGCCTCGAGCGCAGCATCAGCATCAGCCAACTGACACTTCAGCTTTTCCAAAGCCTTTTAATGAGACAAATTTACAAAGCAAGCAATCAGATGGTTATTACATGCAGGCATCTTAATAACATGCACAACAAGTTAGCAGATACAGAATGTCTAACAGACAAATGAAATGGAAGCAAGAAACTTCAGCATAAAGAACATATGAACACGAATTCAAGTACTTACTGGACTAGGATGCTCGGGATCTAGAAAAACAACGCGCAGAACTTGCTCAACTGCTACTTGGTCCTTTTGCTCATCGAACTGTTTCCAGAAATAACGAAAAGCTTACAAGAAAGTCAGAATCGCACGAGGATGAACTGAAGAAGTGAACACCAAGTGACTTCCAGAGTACAGTATAAACTTTCGATTTTGCAAGGACGCAGAAGGATTATGAAGAGTGAATTTTACATATTTAAAATGTATTGAAAAATGTAACCAAAACACGTATTCAAAGATATGACCTTTTAATAAAATGTCATAAAAAATCATGAAATAAAGTAATCTTATAAGTAGAAGTAAAGCAAATAGCGATAGGTTTGCTTAGGGTAAAAAATAATAGCAAATTACCAAGCTTGTTATTAGGTTCCATTCCGAGAGGCGGTAAGGTTGGTAAGACAAACATAACATCAAATAATTAAAATCAACAACTCTTAATGGCAACTATAATTACAGAGAATTTAACTAACCATCTCAGGAACGTAATCAATTGGTCCTTTGACCTTCAAGCTCATTATTTTAAATTTCAGTTTGCTCTTCTCTGGCTTTTCATTATTTTCTGGAGGCTCAACAAACTTGAACACTAGCAAATTGAATAAGAATTGGTGAGTTCATTTCAAATAGGGATCCAAACAAAGCCTTCGTATCAAAAAATGAAATACTTGTTACCGGTTGCTATGATACTTTCACCAGGCGCAAGAATAGCTCCAGGAGGACGCATGAAACAGCTTTTGGGCGCTGTTGTCTGAAACTGTATAACACATGTCAAAAGCAGAACAAAGAAATCATGTTAAACAGTTAAATCTAAGTACTAGAGAAAATCATAGGCGTATGGCTCAGTTATTGAAAAGGCATAAATTGAAGCGCTCCTAAACAGGACTATGTTAAAAGTAGCAGCAATAACATATGGTTGAAATCAAGATTGATTTGACCGCATTGTTGACAAAAATGGCAGATCAATAATAGAAATTCTGGAAGGCGTATATGTTTAACTATACCTTGAAAGCTACATGAGATTTGCTAGTGTTTTTAATCTTTATGGCACTCCTAACCTGCTTGCCTGGTTCATCTTCAAAAGAATGATAGCAAATAATGAATAGACAGAGTATAAGTCCATCAATCTTATGGGTGCGCCAGAAGAAGAAATTCCACAAAATAAACACCATGCAGTATATGTATATAACAAAACCATAGATACACATGCATAAAATGAATAGATCTTCATGTGGGCTCATGCATGCGCCCATGACTGTGCATGTTAAAGTGCAACACCGAAAGTGCAAGAGAGGCATTGCGAGTTTAGTTATATTTGTCATGTAGCTCAGTTGTTGGGTATACGGTAGCCATGTGAATATGGCATCAACAAGAAGAACAAGCGTTTCATGATTTAATGCCCATGATGACATTAAAAAACTCCGGTCGGAAAATCATTGTTGCTACACGAAAATTTATCTTCTCTTTTGTTTTGCTGGATCATTGGGAGCTTTATTTTCTTTTAATAAACATCAGAATTTCTTTATACATATATATATTTCAAAAAAGAACATAATCTCTTCAGTCGCGTTAATGACCAGTAAGACTGCGTTGCTTAGCAATGACGGTTAGTACGTGAAGCTCATTTTTTTCCTCTTTGCTACACATGAGAAAGCCGTTTATATATGTCTTTCCCAGAAGGGAGAAAAGGAAAATTAGAAGACCTCGCAAAAAGTTAACAGGTCATCAAGGAATAAAGACGGAAATATCGCTAGGCATTTTTAAGGTAAGCACCCCCTCCGCATTTGAATGATATGAATTCAAAAGGCGAGATTTGATGACAATAAATGCCCAAACAAGAAACTTTCTAATTTAGTCATCTATGTTCTAAATGTAATTCAAGGAAAACACTTGATTAACAACTTCCAACTATAGCAAACCATAAACAGCAGCAGCTACCTTTAGTTTTGTTTATGGTGAGGATATACAAAATCATTCAGTAAAATAGAAAAACTGCATTGTGATCAGACTTTCAGCTTTTGGGGCAGTACAAATTTCCAATTTTAGAATGACTTTCATTGCGATAGACTGCGCTCCTCTACCTAACAGAAAGCTTAAGCATCGACGCTAATGAGCATTTTCAGCTCAGATTCAAAAGGGGAACGATTAACAAATAATTACCCAACCATTTCAATTATTTCTAAGCAGAGAGAGCACTATAATACGTCATCGAATTGCTATTTAAACCCTAACAGGCGAAGATTACAATCAAGGCCCACATTTGATCGTGATCATAGCAATTTACTTACTCTTCAACAAGCACAGACATTACCACAAGCTAAAAAATAGGAAGAAAAAAGAAGATTCCTTACAAGGCAAGTAGAGCTTATTGGAGGGATCAAGCTTGAGACGACGGCGGGTTGGAAGAAACGACCTTGCAACTGAAGAAACAGAACTGGAGCCATGAGACGTCGAACCCTCAATCGGAGGAGGATTATGGTGATGGTGGACGGTAGTAGACAGCGTCGTATTAGCAGAATTAGCCCCCGAGCCACGAAACGGAAGCTTGAAGAAATTCCAGACCTTCCCGTCGGATGGTGACCTCTGGTTACCAATCGCCATGTCGTCTCTTCGCTTCAGACGCAGCACCAGGCTTTCACAGAACACACAGAGAAGAAAACAACACCGTTTACTTGCCCCGGGGTCAACTCATGAGGATCAGAGTTTCAGCCCGGACTGGACTCTGGACTCGCAGGGGTAAAAACTCGAAAGTGGGAAAAGTGAAAGAACGCGGATCTGAGGCGGAGATTAATGGGGAATGGAGAAGGAGGTTTGGCGTCCGGATTTTCGGTGGTTTGATTTGGTCTTTTTGTGGGCCCTGGCAGGGATCACGAAGAAGGAACACGGTTAGGGATTAAGGAAGACATGGGACGACGTCGTTAAGATGTGCCTGGGGGAGAAAACGTGTGTTGTGAAATTGGTGGGGCCCAAGAAGTTGACTTTTGGGAGAAAGTGGACGCTTTGTCCCGACGGGGGCGGGTGGTGGTTTTGGTGAATGGGAATGGGTTTACTTTTCTTCAAGTTGATAAACCGACAGAGAATCTTGGGAGTGGATTAGTTGCGGAAAAGATCAGAGGATTTTGAACTAATTAAAGATAAAGATGGTTTTAAAATTGCAATTATGATAATGACCACTTACTCTTCCGGTCGTTAATATAAGACCCATTTAACTAAGTTAATTAGATTAAGAAAGTTAGGTAAATTAATTAATTATAAGAAATATAACGCGTTTTTTCTAAAACACCATGATCATCTTTTTTAATACCCGATCTCCCTCTTATACTTGATTATAGTCGAGGGAGTATCCATAAAGTAATTTAAAAAAATTGATAAATATAAGAAATTAGTCTTATATTTAAGACCAAAACCAACTCAACAATTGGATCTTATATTAAGGATCGGGGGAGTAGTTTAAATGGAATAAACAATTGTGTAGTTATGTTTGTGCGTATGCTATGGTTGACAATGTATGATGTTGTTCTTTGAGGAAACAATTCACGCAGTCTTGAACTTTGAACTTAACTCTATTCTTATTTTCAAAGAATCGAATCATAAGAACCCCCTTCTGCCAACATTGAATTACACGTGTATATTTTCCTGTATCAAGAAAACACGTTATCTAGGAAGGAATCCATTTTTGAGCATACATCTTGTTTAGGGGCTATTTGGACTAGTTATGGGGAAACAAGTTTAAGCTGTATGGAATAAATATGTGGAAAGAATTTGATCTCGCAAAACATAAACAGCTACTTGTCACCTTTTCTTTTTTTAATGACTTTTATTGCAATTGTAGTATAAACTCAGATGCTTGAATTCTAAATATAGGTCCAATATTATTGATTTATTTGGCTATATCAGCTAACTCATAGTTAAAATCAGGCAGGGACGGCCTTATTTTTTTACATTATGAGTGCGATTGCCCCCACAAAAGAATTAGATAAAAAATTGTGACAAAAAATTCTATGCTGTGCAAAAGGCATCAAATAAAATTTATTTGAGCAGTTATGAAAGTAGCTTTCTTTATAACAAGACAGTTTTATTTGTCATCTTATTACAATTTTATGTTTTATGCACGATTGTTTATCATTTACTTCTAATAAATTTCGCTTTTGATGTAATTTAATAAATATCTAAAATTATATTTTTTTTTAAAAAGAAAAAGAAGATAATATTAGCGTTTATGTCGCTAATTTTTCTGAGTCTATTATTAAGGCAAGGACAGTATCATCACAGGATCAGTTAGTGTTCAAATTTAATGGTGTATCCGTATTTAATGTCCATTTCTAATAAGATTATTTCCTTAAAAATTGGATTGTTCGTAATAAAAATATTAAGTACAACCTCCAGTCCTAATTATAAGAGCCAATTGACTAATTTGAGGAGATTAAGAAAGTAAGTTGAGTTAGTTATTTGTTCTAAATAGGTGTTGTCTTTCCTAAAATATCATTACTAATCAAGTGTATTGATTAGAACTATCATTATTAGAAGAATTATTTTGGAAAAAATGTATAAATATGAGAAAAAAAGTGGATTGAAGTTTTATATTTAGGACCAAAATAAAAGTCAAACAGGGTCTGATATTAAAAATCGGAGGTAGTAAGATTTTTTGGAGGGAAACTCTTGTAATGTTTGGGTGAAAATATTGACATGCATATTCTTGCCTATTTTGTCATCGCATTTTAAATTACTTATAAATATATTTTATGCAAGTTGAGACAAACTCTTTTTACATAGTTATCTTATATTTTGTAAATTATTATTAAAAAATTATTTATAAACTGTTTTAAATGGGCTCTCTCTTTAAGGCGATCACGCGGAATAAACGGACACAAAGTATCGGCCTATAGGGCTTTGGGGCTGGCGATCCACGCAGAAACCATCTTGCTTTGTGGAAAGCGCGTGCATGCCAGCACTGTCTATAGTGCTTCAAATGGGCCTACATCAATGGGTTTACGGTTACCATGACATGGCCCAATACCTTTATTTGATGCTAGCACCCAATGGGAGTGGATTGGGCCTACGAATTTTTTGTTCAATGGTAACCATCCCTCACTAAATACTCCAAAAAAGCACACGAATTACAACATTTCAAAAGGAGGCGGGGAAATACAAACCACAAAGATATTTTTCATATCTGTCTTTTCAATTTTTTTAATAAACAGTAAAACTATAAGGACGTTCCAACCCCTTTACAGCTGCATTTGCTTTGCGCATGGTCCCTCATAGTTAATTCACCAATCAATGTCATTCTTATTTGGACTACTTTATCAATTCTTTTCATGAAATTCAAAATAATAATTAAATTTAATTAAAAAATTAAATATGTAAAATACATAGAGTTAACCTGCATCCTGCGTTATTAAATATTTTTTCAGTACATCTATTATTTTAATATATTCTGTAGTACATTTAACATATTAAACTATTTTTTAGAATATATCTAACATATTAAAATATTTTTATATATTAAAATATTTTTTTAAGTATATTTAACATGTAAAATATTTTTTTTCATTTAACATCTTAAAACATTTTTTATAAATACGTGTAACACTTACAAATATTTTTTGATACATTAAATAAAAAATATCTTCAAATATTAAACGTATCTAAAAAAAATATTTTAAGATATTAAATATATTTAAAAAAATATTTTGAGCTTCTATACATTTTAACCGAAATATATATGTACACACACATCTATTTCTAATTATACTCTTATTTACCAAAAAGGATATACGATAGATAATAAGCAAAAATTAATTTAAAAAAAAAAATAGTAAGCAGTAAACGACAGAATTTGTTTGTCATACACAGAGATTGTTTCATGTAATAAGAACAGCATGTTATTCGTTTAGTGAAAGTATGGATAATTGATACAGCAAATGAATCCAGAATTTTCTGGTCAACTCTGGAAATACCATTCATTTCTCAAGCGCAGCACTAGTTGCAAAAATTAATCAACCAATCCAGCATATACGGTGTTTCCATTACTACTCATTACTGATGATACTGCTATACATATTCTTGAATTTACAAGATCTTACAAAACCCTAAAAAAGAAACAGAAAAAGAAAAGGATTGGACATCAATTAGGGCCCCAGCAGCTCAAGTACATAATGGTTCTGAGGGACTCTTCGGCCTGCTTGAGCTTGTCGGAGTTGGAAGCCTTCACGGCGGGAGAATCGAAGGCGTTCGAGAAGCGCCTGACCTGCTTGGAGGAAGAAGAGGAAGCAGAATCGCGGAGAGATTTGATGGCGGAGTCGCCGCACTTGGATCCCTGATCTTTCATTCCCTGCCACCCGCGCATCCCTGTTTGGTACACTATCCTCCACACATACCTCAAGCTCATGCCCAGCGATCGATCTCTCTCTCTCTCTTTCCCGAAATCCCACAGAATATGAACGAAGAAGCAACGAAGAACTGTATGCGAATTGAAGATTGAGCTGGATTAATAGCGTTTAAGGGAAACTTGCAAAGCGCCAGAGCGAGAGGTTTTATATAGAAAAGTTGGGGAAGGCGGGTCAAGGGAAAACAACCGGCGGTGACGTGGGCGCTCCCGAGGAATTTATTCACAAAACCGGGAGCTCCGGATGCATTCCAGTGGGTGCATGGACACGTGGGGGTGCATCCAGCTGAATCAGCACAAGTTTTCTTCATCATATTTCGGTCTTATTTTTTTAAAAAAAAAACATTTTATTCTTCCCTTAAAAATCATGCAGTATAAAGAGTTTGAACCCGTTTTCTTGCATACTATGGGTCGCAGTGGATTTTTAAAAAAATTTTTTGAAAAAAAAAAACAATGTCATGAATGTGAAATGATAACCATATATTGAATACTTTAAAAACTGTTACATTTTAAGAGTATCAAAATTTATAACTAGTCATAATGTCCAACTCAAAAATAATTGATAAAAGCCTGCGGTATCCTTTTTTTGTTTTGTTATAAAATAATATGGCTGTCTATATTCTTAATTTTATTAGTTCAATTAATGTGATGATAATATAAGAGAATATAAATTGCAGAGGAAGACAAAGTTACACACGTAGGAGGGGTAATATAAGTGAATCTGGGACCTTGCTTTCGCAAATTTACAATTTGAAATGATTGAGATGGTTTGGAGTTTGTGGGCGCAAAGATAAGATATTTTGGGAGAGCCTTTGATTTTTTAATTTTTTAATGACAATTTCATTTTCAATCCACAGAGAACAGTGAAACTATCTAATCTAATACTGCCTCTTCTTATTTAATATAAAAATTAATTAATTAATTTGTGAGTAGACTAAATAAATTTGTTAAGTTAATTATTTGTAATAATTAGTATTGTTTTTTTTAGAATACCTTATTAATCATATGTATTGGTTAAAACTACCATTCGATGAAATTTTTAACATGTGTAACTATTATAATGATTATTTTGAAAAAGAAATGGTTAAATATGATAAACAAAATGGATTAGAATATTATATTAAGGGTGAAATTAAAAATCAAACTAACTTTTATACTAAAACCAGGAATTAGGTAGTACAGTTTAATAGGATAAAAAAATATTACTAGGGACGAGGATTTTATTATATTTTCAAACTAATCTAATCTAATACAATTTCTTTCTTTTTTTCCGAAAAGAAAATCGTAATTATGTTGTTCCAATCTGCTTTTCTTGGTGCTTATCGGCTTATCCCCCCAGGCTGTGTCCACGCACAGGCTCATAGTTTTCGTCGAACGAATCCGTCAAGTTGAAATTTCTGGACAATGACACGATCGATGAATCCTATCTTTAATACGATGATAATAATAATTATTGCATGGGCTTCTTATTCTTCAAGAAAAAAGGCAGTGCCAAACTGATAAAACATTCGGCTGAGCTCATTGTTATCTTTTAAGTTGAAATTGTTGCCAAATCAAAGATATAATAATGCGATAATTTAAGCCAATTATTTAATTCTCTTTATGAGATTAGCCAAAACGTGTAGCATTAGAGTCAAGGGGGCGTTTGAGAGTGTGCTTTGTCAGGTTCAGAACCTCTCCACTGTAATTTCTCTCCATTTTGCCTCCACTAAAAAAACGACGTTGTTGAGTTTTAAAATAAGCAAACGAGGAAAATGATTTTTAGAAGAACGACATCGTTTTTTCAGTGGAGGCAAAATGGAGGGAGGCACTGCAGTGGAGACATTCCGAACCCGTGCTTTGTCAATTTGAGGGGGTGTTTGGATAGAAACTAAACCATGATTTCAAAAGTGATTTTACGGTCTACAAGGTAAATATATGGAGGAGTTTATCTCGATTTGCGAAAAGTGCTTCTGAAAACACTTTTCAGGGTATCCAAACACCCCTCAAGTAAAGTTTCCTTAATTTTCAAACTTGTATATCTGCTTTCTTTCTTGGTTGGTATATAAACCTGAAATTGGTTTTAATTTGGCAAAATCATCTCTGATTATAGATATTGAAATCATTTTAGATTATCAAAATGATTTAATCTACTTTGTAAGGATATGTGTGCGAGTGGTAAGACGTATTAAAGATACGATGCATCTTTATATGTTTCTGTGAAATTTTGTGACTTTTTGGTTATTCTGTTATCTGCAAGCCATGAGTCTTTTTTAGCCCCCTCTTGTTGCTTTTGATAAGTAGAACCGATCTGTTTTCAAACGTGACATCAGACTCCAACTAATCCAAAGAAAAGAAAAAAGAGAGTACTGATGGCAGACTGTAAATATGGCCAGTGTGAAGAAGAATGGCAAACTGACCCTCTGAGGATATATAAACAAAAAAGAGAGAGTTGAACTAATAACGCTCATGATTTTTGTTTGATGTGATACATGAAAATAATTAGCACTTAGATATACAAGTTCAATCAGCTTACTTTCCTGATGTGAATTTACACTATCACCTGAGATTCCTCTGTGGTAAAGGAAGTTCCTGTATGTATTAATGTTTGTGTCCATTTCTCCTTAATTAGGAATGACTATATATCAGGCAAAACTCAGTGAAAATGCAATTTTCTTTGTAATGAATCATGTTCATCTATTGGCCATGTAATTAGAGGCCTGTCAAAAGCTGTGTAGAGGAGCACTTGAAATTTCTTGGAAAATCTTCCATTGGAAGGCGCCCCTGCGGATGATTGTTTTGTTCTGTGGTCACCATGAGCTTGATGGGTCTAGAGATAGTGTTATAGGATAGGTTGTCATTATCTGGTTTTGCATTTGAATCACCCAATGAGGCTTGATCAGATGTTTTGTCTTAATCTGTTTCATTCACAGTTAAGGTTCTGTAATGGGCTGGTGATAAAAGATAGTTCAAGTTTAGCAGAGTAATCCGAGGAAGGAATCAGCCTTCGTTCTTTCTTATACATGTGTTATTTATGATATGAACTAAGCAGCACTAAACTAGCCTATAAAAGTGACATCTTGATTCCTGCAGATTGACAAATTTTTGTTGACTGAAATGATTGAGCTGATAATGGTGTTGCAGAAACATATAGTTGACGAAGGCCCACAAAAAGATCCTCATCATCTTATTGGAAGTTGATTTTGGCAGATATGAGAAACATTTGTGGGTTCTGAAGCATGAACTCTGGTTTAGCGTACTTGAAATTACTGTGAAAGCTAGTGCATTGTTTTTTTCTGAAATTGCCGCGATTCTTTCTGATATTATACTCCTCCGGTCCTTAATATAAGACCTATTTAACTAAGTTGATTAGATTAAGAAAGTTAGGTAAGTTGGTTAGTTTTAAGAAATATGATATGCTTTTCCTAAAACACATAATCATCTTTCTTAATATCCTCCTCTCTCACTTACTTGATTATGGTTGAGAGAGTATCCATAGAAGTAATTTAGGGAAAATTGATAAATATAAGAAATAAGTCTTATATTTAGGACCAAAATTAACTTAACAAATAGTTCCTATATTAAAGACCGGAGGAGTATAATCACTAAGCTTTCTCTCTCTGTTAACAATTCTGCAGCAGATCAAGTTACAAATCATGCAGATTATCTCAAAGTATCAGAGCATAATATAATTTTGATGGTGAGCAATCCAGAAGACAATGGGGACAAAGAAGCGTAGAATGCTTAAAGATGATACTAGTGATCTTTGTCACACATATTCTCAAATATTAATTTCCAACAGATAAAAGGTCGTTGATGGATGCAGTTTTGTGGCCTAACAGCTTATTAGAATTAAATCATTTCCACAATCCTGCATTCAAGTTCATTACTGTGCAAGCAAATTCACAACTCCACATATAACAGCACCCTACGAACTTCAATGTGTTCAATCATAACTAATGCTAACTAACACCAGCTGGGTCACCTAATAGCTAAAGATCTAAAGCTCACGTCTTCTTTCTCTTAATTAGAAGGGTTTTTTTCATTTATCAGAATGAATTTGATTTCATTCCGCTGTTTGGACTTCGGAATATTGTTTCCTTCTTCTGACCTGGTGATCATGTGAGCTGCAAAATGCTCTCCGAGTCACCTGGTAGAACTTTTAGTCGAAGAAGGCCCACAAAAAAAGATCCTCATCATTTTACTGGAAGTTGATTTCGGTAGATGTTTGTAACCTTTGTGGGTTCTGTAATGTGAACTCTGGTTTAGTATAGTTGAAATCATTGTGACAGCGTTAAAAGTGCGAGACATGTGTCTCTCTATACACACACACACACACATATATAGGTGAAAACAAGTGAATTTGTTTTCTCTGAAATTGCGGCAATTCTTTCAAATATTATATAATCACTCAGCTTTCACTCTCTGTTAACAATTCTGCAGCAGATCAAGTTACAAATCATGCAGATTATCTCAAAGTATCAGAGCATAATATAGTTTTGATGGTGAGAGAAAGAAGCGTAGAATGCAAATTAACAACCCTACATATAACAGCGCCCTACAAACTTCAATGTGCTCAATCATAATGCTCAAACTAGCACCAGCTGGGTCACCTGACAGCTAAAGATCTAAAGCACACGTCTTCTTTCGTCTTAATTTGAAGGTTTTTTTTTTTTTTTTTCAATTTATCAGAATGAATTTGATTTCATTCCAGTGCTTGGACTTTGGAATATTGTCTCCTTCTTCTGACCTGGTGATCATGTGAGCTGCAAAATGATCTCCAAGACACCTGGTAAAACATTACTTTTTCTCTCAAACCGAGAGCTTTTGGCCCAACCTCAAATGAGCCTTTGAAGACCCAAACCAAATTATCTGCAATAACAAGATCAAATCATAATCACAAGACTTGAAGTTCATCTGATATTAAGGGTATATATGCCCACTCAGCAACAATTAAGTCGTTTATAATCCATTATTCCCCTATTAACATGAGTGAGTGAGACAAAAACCTCAGACTTTAAATTATTGTGGGGGGGGGGGGGAGAGAAGAAAAGAAAAGAACAAAGTTATAATGCATATGCGTTGGCTGCTTCTACGCCAAGAAATAGTACAAAGCCTCACAGCAAAGCATTAATGAATAGAACCAATTTAC